TGTTGGTCATGGGAATGCCACATTTGGTTCAATTCCATCATTGATGGAGATCAGAATGCTCTTTGATTGTAGATGAACTATAAATCCTAGCAACTACAACTCCCAAATGACAAAATAATTTTTTGAGTGATGGTCATTCCTTGGGTTAGTAGGTGTCTTGTGGCCAAATTTGGTGGCAATTCGTCCAGTGGTTTTTGAGTTATCTTAATCCTACAAATGAAGATTACATTTTTATTTATATAGAAGACATAAACTATAGAGATTGACCCTAGTATGAAACAAAGTCATGGTAAGACTTCCAGGATGGGGAGTGAATGAATGTCAAGATTTATAGCCTGTCAAACTAGGGGAATTACTAGTTATAGGAAAATTTAGAAAACTAGGAGGGTGGTCAACAGGAAGAAAATATTGGCTCTTCAGAAAAAGGTTTCAGAGAGTTGCATGTGACTATAGATACTGTGTTGTGTCCTTAATGGAATGGCATACAAGTCACATGTATATAAGAATTGAGAACATGAATCTGATTAGTAAATCCATGGCCTTTAAAATGCCCTTAGGTTTTGCAGTTGACTACTTCAACTGGTTTATGTTTTCATTTTTGTAGAGTGGAACAGTCAATATAATCTACAGCAGCTAATGTGAATCACAAACCACCCATGGATAGGATAAGGGCTGCACCCCAAATCCACAATGCTAGAGGAAATTTTATTCTAGGATTTGGACAATTCAGACTAGCGAATGTGAACAGGTGTGCCTCTTACTGCGAATATCCAGTTCAGCTGTAAAGAAAGCCTGCTGTGAAGACAGTGTTATTTCTATTTAACAGATCAAGGAGGTTACTCCATCACGGCAGAATAGCTGTCTACTCTTATTAAGAGGATTTTTAAGGGCAGCATTGAAAGAAGCACAGCAATAGCTTTTTGACATTGTGCTACTGAAGGACAGCACAGGCTGATCAAGCCAGTGGCTTTTAGAAGTGTTTAGCTTCTAGTGAAATCTGTACAGCTCTCTGGGCTTTGCCAAATGATTTTCTTTTCTCTCTCCAAGTCTACTGACCTGTGGCTAATGAGATTTGTGTTTCGATTAGTTGTAGAACATAAATTAACTAATCAATGAGAATGGATTCCCATTATTTCTTGTAAAGGAGCTTTCTCTGCTGCAGTGATCTGTATTTAATATTCAAATCAATCTCAAATTCTCAGGATGATTCTGTTAATATGGCTTGCTATGTTTCAGGGCTTTTATTACCTGGGTGCAGACCATCATTATGAAAAACATATGGAATTCAGATAGCAGCTTGCTCCATCTTCCCACCTTACATTTTCCCATTTGCTTTAAAATGATGATTTATAATAATTAATTACTAAAGAATACTAAGACTAATACTAAGAATGACGAGAACTAGATTTTCTATCATCTATCTAATCTTATCTATCTATCTATCCATCTCTATTTATTTATTTATTATTTATCTAAGAAGATCTTGCATACAGTTATTGTTTTGAAGACAAAACTTGTGAAAAATGTTTACTTGGGTGTTTGATTTGTGCAGAGCCACTGGCACCTGTGTGTTCATAAACTATATGAAAATAATATACTAGAAATTTCTGTTTTAGTCATTCAAAGGTAAAGGTTTTCCCCTGACATTAAGTCTAGTTAAGTCTAGTTGAGTCTGACTCTGGGGGTTGGTGCTCATCTCCATTTCTAAGCCGAAGACTCGGCGTTGTGACTAGATGCCTCCTATGTCATGTGGTCGGCATGACTGCATGGAGTACCATTACCTTCCTGCTGAAACGGTACCTATTGATCTACTCACATTTTTCTTGTTTTTGAACTGCTAGGTTGGCAGAAGCTGGAACTAGCAATGAAAGCTCACTCCATCCTGTGAATTCAAACCACTGACCTTCTGGTCAGCAAGTTCTGCAGCTTAGCAGTTTAACCAGCTGTGCCACCATGGCCCCACCAAACTCTATAGCTATAGCCTAAAAAACCAACGGGTCCCACACTTGCAGGGACGTTCTCAAGATTCTGAAATGATCCAGTATATATAAAGATTACCCTTGTCCAATATTGGGTTCCCCTAGGTCAGTGGTTCTCAACCTGGGGTCCCCAGATGTTTTTGGCCTACAACTCCCAGAAATCCCAGCCAGTTTACCAGCTGTTAGGATTTCTGGGAGTTGAAGACCAAAAACATCTGGGGACCGCAGGTTGAGAACCACTGCCCTAGGTGTTTTCCTTACTGCCCTAGGTGTTTTCCTTACAACACCCATCATCTCCAGTTGGCATGGCAGATGCTTAAGGATTATGAAAATTATAGGCAACAGTATTTGGGAAAGTAGATTCTTGAGATTCTGACTAAATCTATTTGTCACTTCCAACTAAGGTAAATTCACAGAATCAAAGTAAATATGGTAAGTCAACATCTATGTACAGTATATTATTTCAGTGAGGCTGCTGTAGGTGGGACCAACAATTGGATTCCGCTAAGCGATAAGCAGTATAATAGGCAGTACAATAACAACAGCAAATGGCCATTATGTGATCCTTTCATCAGTTTTTCTTTGGTATAGACAGTTGCCTATAATAAGAAAATATGGTATAAGCTGATTGGTCCAGATTAGGAAATTGCATTGAGCTTCTTACAGTCCTTGCTGCAAGTTGCTATAAAACGTCTCATCTGAACAATTAACCATCATCTTGGCATAAAATGTGAGAATTTGTACAGTCTTCAAAGCATCTGTGGCCTTTATGGTACAAATTCTGTTAGTACTGAAGCCACAGAAAATTAAATGTTCCCCAAAGAACTTCCAGATGTGTTTTATTCTAATAGGGTCATTATACAGTAAATTAAAAAACAGGGTAAATGGAACTGTAAAATTTAAATTACTCTAAAACCACATCTCTTTGCTTTGAGCATTCATTTGTGGGGTTGCATTTGCAGTAAATGTGAATTAGGCAGCTGCAATAACTGTTAATCATATATTTATAAAATAGTAATGAGGAAATGAATAGCAGAGTAAGACAGCTGCACATTTCTCTAATAGTATGTCAACTGTGAACATAATAAGATGCAGAAAATTGTTTGCGGCTAGTCTGATAATACACCTGAACAGGAGAGATCACTTCAACCTCTTAACTTTACAGAAAATAATGTATAAAATCCATAAAAAGCCATAATAATACATTAGCCGACAGAATTTCTCCTCAGTGTTTTCCTTTGCTTTGATTTTCTGAAATGGCACACGCTTTTTCCTCACAAAGAAATGTGCCAAGAACACTAAGGCTTTTGTTTCCATCTGGACTAGACTCACTGCCTTGCAATTTTATTTAAAAGACAGTACTTCTAAAAGCACTGGGTGATTTAAGTATCATACATTGTGTTTCTTGAGAAAATATCCCAGATCATTCAGTGAAAAGTTTGTTTGTTTGTCAAGAAAATATCACCTGCCCCATTCCGATTTCCATGATGTCATTGTATATGTGCATCAAATCAATGCCTATAACCAAATTGTGAGACAAAACAAGAACAATAACACCTAAGACAACTTTATCACAATAATTTAAAGTAGATTGCAAGTGGCACAAATGAAGGCATTGTGTAGCCCCAGAGAGATGGGAGTATGGTGGGGTTTTGGTAGGAATAATTGAAAGGTTAATGTACCTGCAAAAATAAAGTAAACAAGTAAACAAAAGCTGTCAAAACAATCTGACATATTTGAATTTC